GGGCGGCTGCATTTCGCAGCCCCTCCGAGCCGGCAATGGTGCAGGAGGCTGCGGCTGGGCCCAGGCCCCAAGGCGGCCGCGACGCCGACCCGCACGCTCGCCCTACGGTGCGGCCTGCGAGCAGGGAGGCTCAGGTTGGGAGCGAGGCCGGAGACGAGCTCAGAGGGCCGCCGGGATGATGCCGAGACTGCGGCGGAGACTGCCCCACGAAAGTCCTCTCGGTGGCGACCGCCCAAGCACCACGACGCCGGAGCCCTGACAGGACCATAACAGTGACAGCGCCGCTTGGATTGGCTCTTTGTAATGTGCTCTCCCATTGGCTCCAGGAGAAAGGTTCTGATTGGGTCTTAGTGTGTTGATTCCGGAAGTTTACCCACGACCGGAAGTTTAGTCGTAATTCGTGGAACAGTCCGGGGTCCCTGTCCCTCTTGGCTGTTTTGTTCCCTTAAGTCCCATGTGTAACGGCTTTTCGTTACCTAGTTCCTCCGTTTTTGTTAACTGGATAGATTATGGAATTTTAGAACTATGTAGGTTTCTAGAGGTCAGCCCCTGTCTAGGATCACAAGATTCCGTTGCCCTTAGTCATTCATTAATTGTATAGGATCTCGATTAAGTCATATGTCATCTCTGAGCCTCAGTTTCCTCACTTGTGGGGCGAAGAGCGATGGATTGGAGAAGAATAAATAAAGCAGATTAAACTGTAAATTGCTATCCAGAGACTGGGGCTGTCTTCTAGCCACATTCTTTTATGAGGGAGGCAACTGACGCCAGAGAAGGTAAGGTAATAACAATTAAGACGGCACCCAAGGCTCCTGACTTCTAGTTATATGCCGTTTTCACTAGAACGCCCTGTCTGTTGATAAACTTGCTAAAATTTACAAACTCACCTAAGCTGTAAAATGTTTAAATAAATAAATTTAATATTGAAGCTTCATAACTGTGCCTTCCAATTTGAACAGAGAGGGTTTGGGGGTATATTTTGAGACAGATGGAGAAATACACAATGGATTAGCAATTGAACAGTAGGAAGCCATGGCCATTGCAGTGGATCGAATGACCCCTCAAAGTCATTGAAGCTTAATCCCCACTGTAACTGTTGAGGGTGGGAAATCCCATTATGGTAATCAAAAGGTGGGACATTGAAGAGGTGATTGGATTGTGAGGACCATGCCACAGTGAATGGATTAGTAATGGTGGTCATGGGTGTGGTTCTGAGGGTTTTAAAAGGAGAGCATTTGAGAGTCTCCCTCTCCCTCTCCCCGACCCCTCCCCCTCTCCCCTTCCCTCCCTCCTCCACCATTTTCTGCTGTGTGAGAACTCTGCAAATCACCTAATTCCAGGTATTTTGTTATAAGTAACAAAAACGGACAAATACAGCCACTAATGTGTTAAGTGAAATTTCAAGAAAGTTTTCTCACAGGAAATAACAATTAAGTTGGTACCTAAAGGATGAGTAAAAGCTTGCAGGCAAAGAGATGGTGTGGGGGAGGGAAGGGGAGGGCTGGCATCCTAGGTCATAACATTCCAGAGATTCAGTTTACTTGGAGCTTAGGTTTCATAGGAAAGAATGGCTACAGATGGATTGCACAGATAGGTAAAGAACAGATCATGAAATATTTTGTAGGCTATCCTATGGAATTTAGAGTTTTCTTCTCTAGAAATGATGGGGGAAACATTAAAGGAATTAGAGCAAGGAGTAACAATCAGATAGACCTGTTAGAATTATTACTTAAAATATCTACAGTAGAGAATATTTTGACTTGGAGAGTACAGATTTGTATGAAGACTTTTGCAGATACATAAGTAAGTTTTGGACTTTGGTTGCAGCACTGGGAATGGGGAAGAAGAAACTGATTGAGAGGGGGCCGGCCTGTGGCTCACTCGGGAGAGTGCGGTGCTGATAACACCAAGGCCACGGGTTCGGATCCCATATAGGGATGGCCGGTTGCTCACTGGGTGGGCGTGGTGCTCACAACACCAAGTCAAGGGTTAAGATCCCCTTACCGGTCATCTTTTTATAAAAAAAAAAAAGAAAAAAAGAAACTGAT